TACAACCAAAACCAAAAATAGGAATTCCTCTTTTAAAACTTAAGACAGCTTTGACAGTCTTAGTGTTGGAAATTTAGCTATTGATTTTCTGTTCATTTTAGTGGAAATGGAGCACCCAGGTTCTTTTTTGAGTGACTTGAAAATCTGTTTTAATTCAAATCTCTCCATAAAAGCACTTCTCATATGGGGCTGGGCATATGGAAACCTGTGTTCTTCCTATCTTAAAGAAAATTGTTATGCACCCATGTGCCCACTGATCATGAGAAGCAGCAGATAAAATGTCCTCACCTACTTCTGAGCCTGAGAGGTGAGGGATACTTGAACCTATCATTGAAACTGTAACAGTCAGTCGCCAGCCAGCTCCAGGCTGCACATGCAGACTTCCCCATGCAGCCCAGGGCTGGCCGGGAACTGTCTCAGTCAGGGGCAGGTCCCAGCCCCATACCCCAATTGGGTGATTGATGCACAGAGCTTGGAAGGAGTTGCAGGGGTGGAGTAGGTCCCAGCCCCTGCCCCAGTCTGCCAGTGAGGCAGCTAGCAGCAAACTAGCTGCCAGCTAACCCATCGGCAGACTGGGGCAGGGGTCTGGGACCTGCCCCTCTCCTGGAGCTCTTTCTAAGCCCTGTGCCCCTGGTCGGGGAGCTAGGGTCAGGAGCTCCCTGTTGCTGGGGCAGTGGGACTTGTCCCTGCCCCAGCAGCAGGAAGTGCCCCCCTGGACCCAGGAGACAACTGTCTCCTGGCCCAGTACACCCTGCCAGCCCCTGGGCTAGCATGAGGGGGAACCTGGAGCTCTCCCCAGTGACAGCAGGGGCCCATTGCAGGGCTACAGGGAACTGGGTGCAAATCTTCTCCCTAATCCCTACATATGTAAATATCTGCCTGAAAACCCTTACTGCGGCTTAGTTTACACCAGAGTAAATCTAGGCTGGAGTAAATGCATGTGTAGACATGCCCAGTAACAATAGCTCTAAGTGCCTGATCTTACACATTAATTCAGTGGGATTTTTAACATTTACTTAGATGGGGAAAGGGTGGGACCAATGTGCAGATGTGAACTGTGCCCATCCATCCCAGCTGGTGTTGATCATTGAGCCAGTCAATGATAGCTACTGTTTAATATTTTTAAATACAGTAATAATTACCCAGAGCCCGTGGCTGTATTTTTTTAGTGTTATGGGTAGAGTTTCAATAGGTGTTTGCCTGTATCTCCAGTAACAGCTCAGTTTATGCATAATTTAAATATTTTGGCCAATGTGCTTATGTAACAGACCTCTTGACTCAATGACCTGCCTTCCTATCAGGATGTCCTGGAGGAGTGGCTGACATGCCAACGCTCCTGGCTGTACCTGGAGCCCATCTTTAGCTCAGAGGACATCAATAGACAACTGCCTGTAGAAAGCAAACGCTACCAAACCATGAATAGGGCCTGGAGGACAATCATGAAGAATGCAAATGAAAACCCAAAGGTGGGTGCTCATGTGGCCTGCTGTATGTTAAGATTGTGGTACATACTTGTATATGGCATGCATATGCTCTGTCAGAGGGTTGGTCTAGTACATCATCTGAAGATGAATTGTAACTGAATATTTTTTTCTTTTGGATTCATTGTCCAGCTGCTTAGATTGTAAATTCTTCAGGGCAGGGACTGTGGCCTAGTTCAGCCCAAAAGAAAACAGATGCAGCTATAACAGTTTCCCTAGAGTTATGCCAACTTTCACCAAGGCAGAGTTTGACTCTTGGTTTTCATACAAGCCTTGAAGACACCATAGACATGCACAGCACTGTGTAAAATAATAATGCACTGCTTTGGAAATGCTCTGTTTTCATGAGATGTTTCTAGATGATGCAGAGCCACTAGCCATAGCTCTAATGCTTCTTCAACCCGCCCTGCCATGGTGAGCTACAGAAATTTGCCCCGGAGATTTCTCAAATCACGTCCAGAAATGTGCAGACCCACAACTTGTGATCTGCTTTGGCCTTTACCCATAAAGTATCTCCAGATTTGACCCATAAACTATTTCTGTCAAGTGGTTTTGCAGCCTGGCCTGGTCTGGCATGGCTGTCATCCCCCCAACTTGC